GGAGGAGGAGGAGGAGGAGAGCACAGAAGCAGGATCATGAGTGTACGGGTCAGCGCTGTCACTACCGTACTGAGGATGATCGGATAGATACTGAGAGAGGCCGCTCAAGGGCGGAGGCGGCCGGCGTGAAATGGGTTAACATCCAGCGGTCGTGGAATATGATTGAGAAAGACAACCGTGTCGGTCAGCATTTTAATGCTGACCTTGAGACATGCTTGTACGGTAGAGATAGTGATGTAAAACATGGCTAAATCATTAAGAACGGAGCAGGAAGAATGACGTGCAACAAGAAGAGAGATACAAAACCAAGAGTAGGCGGTAGCGTGATGGATGATTGGATTGATGAATGCGATCCGATCTTGAGAGACTTCTACTGTGATGTTTTGTATTCATCGAAAGGCTAAAAGACAGAGAGCAACGAGTCAGCAGATGAGGTCATGGTCGTGCTGCTGACTCTGTTACGCACAGATGTCTTGACGGGATTCAGTGATGATGCATGTAATGAGAGACTGCTGGCCGTGCGGGAGATGCTAGCAGAGGAGTAATCATGTTCCCTTGACATCCGGTTGACTCACTGTAGACATCGATCGGCATGCGCTCTCAGCTCAGCCAGTCAGCATGATCCGGCGGCTGTTCAGCAGGTCCAGCCTGGTCCGACCGGTCGAGGTCAACGCTGATGCTGACGTGGCTGCTGCTGAGAGTGGGACAGGCGCGGTGCGAGGTGGATGTGGAGGAGGGAACAGCAAACGGCGTCAAGTCGGAGCTGGAGATTATACCGGCAGGTTGGGGGAGGAAAGAATGCAGATGCGAGGATGCCGCTGACGATGACCGGCGCAGGTTCTGCTGATGGTACCGGGAGCTCGCAGTTCTCAAGGAGGAAGCTCAAATCGAGGGAAGGGTGCGCCTTGCTCGCGAGGGAGGAGGATCGTTGTGTGAGGTTGAGAGCAGCTCCAAGTGGCGCTCCTTCAAGTCTCTCTTTGCAAGTCACAAGGTCCATAGCACAGGCTTCCGATCCCTTGCTCATGGGTCGCAGGCTGAACCTGAACAGAACGGGGCGAGCAGACCTCCCCGGGCAGGAATGCGGCCGGATGAAGAGGCCAAGGTGGCTGACGTGCCCATCACAGAGTATCCCGCGGTGCAAGTTGTCGTGGACAAACAGGAGGAGGAAGTTTCGCCGACAGCGGGGCGAGCGAAAGTAGCCTGGGACACAGGGCATGTTCCCAAGGTAGAGCAGGAGCTGAGAGAGCTCGCAGCCCGGGAGTGACGACGTGGGCAGGTCTCTAAGATTCCTCTCAAACGGTGGGAAGGCGACGAGGAAGTGCTGAAGATGGCGAGGTAGCTGCTCCTGCTCCTGCTCCTGCTCCTGCTCCTGCTCCTGCTCCTGCTCCTGCTCCTGCTCCTACTCTTGCTCCTGCTCCTGCTCCTGCTTCCTCTTCTGAACTGCGTCGTCAGGTACCTGGGAATCAAAGAGGGCGAAGATTATCTCCTGGGAATCGCTGAAGAAGCTCTCAAGTGACCTGACTGCTCCTCCTCTCCCAGCTTAACTCACAGCCAACAGCGCGACCCTCCCAAGTGGATGGGAGGAGAGGAGTACAGCGGAAGGTTACCCCTTCTACTTCTGGTGAGACGAGCCGCTGCCCTGGAACCGACGCTGAAATTTCGTTAAGTGAGGCGAACAAAACTTCTTCGTGGGAGCACCCGCGTGATGGATACTACCGGTATTGTCATGTAGAAGTAACTCTGCTCTTGCTTCCCCTTCCCGCAAAATTGCCTCCCGTCTTTTCCCGCCTCTCCTCTCCTCTCCTCTCCTCTCCTCTCCTCTCCTCTCCTCTCCTCTCCCCTCCTATCGCCTCCTCTCCTCTCCTCTCCTCTCCTCTCTCCTCTCCTCTCTCCTCCCTCCTCCTCCCTTCTCCTCTCCTCTCACCTCACCTGTGCTTCTCATGCTCGACCTTCTCCGCACTCCTCACCCACGACTTGCAAGGTTCCTAGTCAAGTCGATCAGGAAGATGAAGCATCAGCGGTCGAAGAAGGGGCCGCAGGTGGCAAGATCGCCAGAGGTCACGCAGAGAGCAGGCGGCGAGGTTTGGGGGTTGAAACTTTTGCCAGGTGAGGAGGGACAGGGAGATAGCCGACTCGCTGTGGCGGATGCATGAGGTGAACGTCCTGTGGCTGCTGAGCAGGAGGGTTGAGGAGGAGAGTAGGAGGAGAAGCAGCGGGAGGAGGTGAAGAAGTGTCAGCGACTGAGGTCACTTGAGTCCCCCACCCTTCTCTTGCTGATGAAACGGCAGCGAGGAAGAGCCGATGTCGGGATCCCTTGGGACAAACTGATTCTGGTC